GATTTTCCTACAGACGGTTATAGGCCATCTACTGTAGAGGTCAATAATATTGTGAAAACGACATACACTGTTAGGAAAGCCTTTATTTTATTGAGAGAATCTATTTCACAGACCAAAGAGTTTCATTTTTTGTAAAATATTGCGATGCACTCAGAATATACTCTTATTTCAGTTGATCACTGAATTCTACTTTGGCAAATTATAAATTCTTTGCTATAAACGAAAAAAGAATGAAAACCGATATTTTTTCCACGTAAATAAAAGGAAGACTTAAATGATTGCGAAAATATACATCATTAATTATTCCAATGATCAAACGGCAATTAATGCTTTGAAAAAAAACATCTGCGCCAATTAACAGGCTTCAAGTGGAAGTACCTAAAAGCACATCAAAACATTCACATGAAAATAATGACAAGAAAAAATATAACTAAATTAACATGCAACTCTCTCAGTTGTTGTGTCTTTCCTCATTCTCCTTTCCTCCTTCTTCTCCTGTTCTTCGTCCTATTGTCTTCTCTTCTGCGTCTGTTCGTTGGAATCTATGTCACGCGTTCTCATTTCTTCATTTCCCTTTTTCCCTTCCTGTCATGTTCTTATCTTCTCTTGCTCATTTTCCTTTGTTTATCCCCCGCTTATATATCTTTTTCTTTCCTTCTTTCTTTTCTTCTCTTTTTTTTCCTTTCAAACACACGAAAATAGCGAAGACCTTTTCGCTTTCCTTCGCCATACCGTGGGCTTTCCTGTTCCTCTGTTTATCGTCTTACTCGTATTTTCTTCCGCTCTTATTCTCCTCTCTCTCTGCCTCTCTTCCTTGTCCTCTCTCTGCCTTCCTTCCTTGTCCTCTCTTTGCCTTTCTTCCTTGTCCTCTCTCTGCCTTTCTTCCTTGTCCTCTCTTTGCCTTTCCTCCTTGTCCTCTCTCTGCCTTTCTTCCTTGTCCTCTCTTGGCTTCTCTTCCCTCGCACCCTCTCTGTCCCTCCCGGCCTCTCTTCCCTCTCCTCCGCCCTACAGCCTGTCCCTCATCCTGCACACCTCCCTCTCCAGCCTGCTGAGCTCGAGGTTGAGACGCGAGTTGTGGGCGTGGGCGCATTCGAGCGCGGTCTTCAGCTCGGCGATGTGGTCTTCGTTTCGGCGCCGGTACGACCTCACGTCCTGCTGCGCCGCCTTCGTCTGCTCCCTCAGGGCCTGCAGGGCGTCGTCCGGATTGCTCACCTGAGGGAGGAGGAATTATTGCGGTGAAAGGAGGGGCGTCTATTAGATGTAGGTTAGTAGAGTATGCTGTGGAAAAAGCATGCACACAACAGGCATTTCATGTTGTGGAATACTAGACCATGGTATTCGTCGTGTATTGTGAAAAAATGTACATCTTACCCTGCATGCTGTAAATCCCCGTCTCTTTCTCTCTTAGTAAATAATCTTTCTATCACCACCTCTTTCTCCCCCCCCCCTCCACGGAAACGGGACGTTGTGGGATAGGAGGACCTATGGTACGTACAGTCTGCTGTGTTAAAGCATGTTCTCGCGGGCACTGCGTGTTGTGGAACAGGAGGAGTATGGTAAAGGATGGTGTATGAAATATCCTCAGAAATCAACATCGCATTCTCGTCCCCTCGAAATCCTCGGCCGCTGCCATTTTTCAATTCTATTGGATAGATTGTTCTACTCTTCTTATACTTCAATGATGAAGTTTAATCCTTTTCCTTATCAAGACCAACTCCATTAATGCGCCCTGAAGGGATAGTGAAGCTAGCAGATGGAATATCGCTGTATCCCTTTACTTCCGACAAATTTGCATATGGAAAGTGTTGAAAGGCGAATATTTCGCATCCGGTCACATTCAACTACAATCCCACGTACTCTACCCCTTTCTCCTAAGTGCCAAGTCCCTCCTGAGATCGCGGGCTCTTCTTTTGCACAGCTTAGCTACTGACGGCGAACACTGAATCTTTAGGGCCGCGCCCAACGTCCGCGCTTACTAATGGAATTCACTGCACACATTCAAGGCAAAGAATCAGTCCTTCCCCCCAGGTCTTCCCGATAATGAAGTCTATCTTACAACCCTGCGTATGTATGAGTTAGTGTAGATTTGTATAAGTTTCTGTATGTATGTATGAATTTGTGTATGTATGAGTTAGTGTACATGTGTATAAGTTTATGTATGTGTGTGTATGAGTTTGTGTATCTGTGTAAGAATTAGTGAATGTCGGTGTGTGAGCTTGTGTATGAGAGTGCGGAATGATGTGTGTCTGCAAACCTAACCACATGGGTGGTGACAAAAGAAAAAAAAACTGCCAATACAGATATCGCCACTAAAAGAATTGGTTGTCAAAGATACGAAAGTACCCCAGAGTGTACTATCAACGCACCTGTCGGCGGAGTGCTAGCACGGCCTCCTCCAGGTGTCTTATCTGCGACCTCAGCGGCTCCACGCTGCCTGGCGAGTGCCTGAAGGCTTGCAGGCGGGACTTGAGGGACGCCACCCGGGCGCGCGCCTGCATTACCTGCTGGTGAAGCCTGTCCTTGGCCAGACACTCTTGCTGGACCATCTCGTAGGAGGCCATGCGCATTCTGGCCACGCTGTCCAGGCTGGCCGCCGTGGCGTCGGCGTCGCCCCCGGCCGCCCTGACCGCCTCCTCCTCCGCCAGGCTCGCGCTGACGCCGGCGATCGTCTGGCGGCGCCGCTCCGACGAAGACTGCTGCTGCAACAGCTCGTGCTGCAGGGCGCGGCCCCGAGCCTCCTCGTCGCTGTGCCGCTTCTGTAGGCTCTGCAGGGCGCGCTTGGCCTCCGCCAGGGCCGCCTGCGCCTCCGCCCTCTCCCCCTCGGCGGCCTGCACGTCGGCCGCCGCCTTCCGGTGCTCCTGCTCCAGCCTCCGGAGTGTCTCCTGGAGTAAGATGAAAAGATGAAAGTAGATAAAAAGATATATACATATATATATATATATATATATATATATATATATATATATATATATATATATATATATATATATATATATATATATATATATATATATATATATATATATATATATATATATATATATATATATATATATATATATATATATATATATATATATATATATATATATATATATATATATATATATATATATATATATATATATATATATATATATATATATATATATATATATATATATATATATATATATATATATATATATATATATATATATATATATATATATATATATATATATATATATATATATATATATATATATATATATATATATATATATATATATATATATATATATATATATATATATATATATATATATATATATATATATATATATATATATATATATATATATATATATATATATATATATATATATATATATATATATATATATATATATATATATATATATATATATATATATATATATATATATATATATATATATATATATATATATATATATATATATATATATATATATATATATATATATATATATATATATATATATATATATATATATATATATATATATATATATATATATATATATATATATATATATATATATATATATATATATATATATATATATATATATATATATATATATATATATATATATATATATATATATATATATATATATATATATATATATATATATATATATATATATATATATATATATATATATATATATATATATATATATATATATATATATATATATATATATATATATATATATATATATATATATATATATATATATATATATATATATATATATATATATATATATATATATATATATATATATATATATATATATATATATATATATATATATATATATATATATATATATATATATATATATATATATATATATATATATATATATATATATATATATATATATATATATATATATATATATATATATATATATATATATATATATATATATATATATATATATATATATATATATATATATATATATATATATATATATATATATATATATATATATATATATATATATATATATATATATATATATATATATATATATATATATATATATATATATATATATATATATATATATATATATATATATATATATATATATATATATATATATATATATATATATATATATATATATATATATATATATATATATATATATATATATATATATATATATATATATATATATATATATATATATATATATATATATATATATATATATATATATATATATATATATATATATATATATATATATATATATATATATATATATATATATATATATATATATATATATATATATATATATATATATATATATATATATATATATATATATATATATATATATATATATATATATATATATATATATATATATATATATATATATATATATATATATATATATATATATATATATATATATATATATATATATATATATATATATATATATATATATATATATATATATATATATATATATATATATATATATATATTACTTTTTTCATATGCGACATTTACAAGGCTCAAAAGTCCCTGCATTTATTTGAGTTTAAAGAATAAAAAACGGTATAACTCTTGCAATGATCAAACTTGATTAATAGTTCACGTGCATTTGCTTGGAAGTTTTAGGGGAAAACCCGTAATTAGGGTGGCATTTGAAGCTAGAAACACATGTGTATCTACCGTATGTGCATTCCGGTGTCGAAACACTAACCACGGACACGTTTTATAAGAAAACACCACTACATTTCACCAAGCAATCACCACAAATTATAAAGTCGATCGCCACCGTTGAATCGGCGTGATTAAACCCTAGCTTCCGCACTTTCTTCAACAAATCTCCTATAACAACCCTACCAAACGTCCTCACGAATCACCACGAACACTGGGAGGTAACGAGATAGCTAACAGGCAGGTACACCATTTCCAGAAACACTACCTCCATTACCACCAGCGCCGCGAGTGGTTTTTATTAATGGATTTGTCCCGAGCGATTCCCTCGATGGCCGCGTCGCTCAGTGTTACCATCAAGCGTCTCGGAATCTCGCCAAGTTCGGCCTCGTGGCGCTCTAGGTCAACTCTGGGGATGTCAAGTGCCATGTGTGTGTGTATCATGTCGAGTCTAAGGTGACAGTAGATAGCAAATAAATGCCACTTTTGAAACTCTTCACGTAGAAAGGATACTTTTTTTTCTTTTTTTTCATGAAATTATTTGTAGCGATCTTGGGGTATCTTTTAACTTTGTCTCCACTGTATATTTAAGCATGAATTCACGTTTAGTTAAAACTCATATTCTACCAAGAATGAAAATCGCATAAAATCGCCAATATATATGAAAACCACAAGATTTCATGCTAGCGTCGTTATGGTAAATATCCCCAAACTCAGAAAACGCTAAAAATAACGGTAAAAAGTTTGAACATCAGTTGTTTTTATTGAAGAAAGTTACTATACATATACATTTATCAGTGTATATATATATATATATATATATATATATATATATATATATATATATATATATATATATTACTTTTTTCATATCTCCCCTACCTACTTTGTTCTTAATTCCACAGAGTGCAGGCTAATCGATAACAACTTTTTAAAAGGGCAGTTATGAGGCTCTGATCAGGCTCTGATACGAAAAAAAAATGATACTCTGTAATATATAAATGCCATAAAGTGTTCAAAACCTGCCATTTTCAACATAATCTTTGACGAATTCGAAGCAGCAATGACGTTATACATAGGCCTACCGCTTTCTTCATAAACAAGACGCGGAATTACACAATATCGCTCAAAGGGGCGCGAGGGAATGAAAAAGTACATTCTTTCAGTGTTTATTTCTAGTATATAGTAGAGGTGATACTGAGTGGATGGGGACGTGGATGGGAATAAACATAACGAATATGTTCAACAGAATCATGAATATATGTAAATTTATGTGTAACATGTAAAACTAGATATTCCATAAATCTTGATATTGCTGAAATTCACTCCCTTTATGACATTACAAGGATATATTCACGAGGCAGATGTATTTCATGTCTATTGGAATGGTACCACAAAATGACAATTAAAGAAACAAACTATGGCCAAATGTGCCCTTTTATTGAACAATGCGTTTCCGAGGACCTGTCTCGTTCCCCAATTGTGAGTGATATTAATGTTAACGATTTTACAACCTCTTTCGGCCGTTCACCATTTACTTCTTACTAATTACTGGGGCGTCAGTGTAATGAACATCATCGTAAAGGTTAATGGCATAGTGTTGCGTGATCACCTAATGCAATTTTTCACACCTTACAGCGAGCAGGCAGGTAGTTCTAATTACCACACGATTATCGTTTGATTTAGCTAAGAGAAAGACATTTCCTTTAAAAAAGTGATATTACTGGGGCTAGGCATGTCACCATTACGAGCCCACGGAACCCACAGACAATGTAAGTCTTTATAGAAAGCCGGGGGGGCATCGGTGATATAGCAACGAAGCAAGGAAGTTCTCTGCAACAAATTCCAACGCATCACGCAGGATTGCAATACGCATCCTTAAACTCCTCTTTGCTGTCCACGGCATTTAATTCATTTGTGTGGACTTAGTCTGGCAGTGGAATAGTCCGGGTCGTGGGCGCTGCGCCTGCTGGCCCGCCCTCTCGCCAGCCGTGCGAGACGTAGCCGTTCAATACCTGGCAACGATTAGTGAGGAAGACACTAACGGCGTGGCAAAAAATACACTGGAAATCCTGTCAGTGTTCGTAAGACTATTAGATTAACGCTTTTATCACGTTCGTTTTTTTTTTTTTTTTTTTTTTTTTTTGCTTTGTTTTTATTCCATGTGTGTGTGTGTGTGTGTGTGTGTGTGTGTGTGTGTGTGTGTGTGTGTGTGTGTGTGTGTGTGTGTGTGCGTGCGTGCGTGGTGCGTGCGTGTGCGTGTGTGTGTGCGTGCGTGCGGGTGCGTGTGCGTGTGTGTGTGTGTGTGTGTGTGTGTGTTACTTCTGTTTTTTGTTTTTGTTTTATCATAGAAGACGCGTCGCGTCCTCGGTATCCATAGCAACAGAAGACGAAATACGGCTCAAGCCACCGTAGACTTTTTAAGGATCCATTCGAGTTTTTCTTTCTCTTTTTTTTTATCATTTATTTGTTTATCTTTTTTTTTTACTTGAGAACCTGCGGTGATTAACTGAATGTATCGCGTATAACACCTATTATTAGGTGACCATCATTAACCTGTCACCTTGTAATAATAACAATCATGTAAATCTCAGGCCGAACAGCACTAGAGGGTAGGATGGTAGTGAAAAGGGTAGAGAGGGAAAAGATGGGGTATTGTATAAGGTAAAGGTTGTTGGAAGGGGAGGGGGTTAAGGGAGTAGGGAGCATTATGATAAAATATTGTGGCGAAAACGGCAAAAATGAGTCTAACGATCAGGACAAGTGGACAGCACGGAGTACAAGAACAGTACTTACTATCCTTTTCATTATTGTTGTGATTATTGCCGTTGTTATTATCATCATTATTATTTATTATCATCGCTATAATTATTATTATTGCTTATTATTATTATTGTTATTGATGTTATAAAGAATTATTACTATTAACAATATTATCATTATTCTTATTATTATTATCACTATCACTATCATTATCATAGTCATTATTGTTATTATTATTATTGAAATCATTATTATTTCATTATTATTATTATTTCAATCATTATTATTATTTCAATATTATTATTATTATTTTAATCATTATTATTATTTTATTATTATTATTATTATCATTATCATTTCAATCATTATTATTATTTCATTATTATAATCATTATTATTATATCTTCTGTGGTTACTAAAACTACCGATATTTTCGTCTGCCCAAGTGAGAAGTAGGCTAACTTAGCCACTGGTTAATGTGTTTGTAACCTGAACTATGCAGAAAGTTTTTAGATTGGGATGAAAACTTGTGCAAGGGTTGCTCGCAGGATTGCAACCAGCTGAGATCTGTCATGCCGACTCAGAATAAAGTTAAAGGAACGTTCGTTACAGCCAGACTGGAGATTACCAAAGGCTTAAAGATAATAGCATTCATTTTGGAATACTTATACGGGTTAAATGTTTTGCTGCTTATTTTTAAGAGAGAGAGAGAGAGAGAGAGAGAGAGAGAGAGAGAGAGAGAGAGAGAGAGAGAGAGAGAGAGAGAGAGAGAGAGAGAGAGAGAGAGAGAGAGAGAGAGAGAGAGAATGTGTTTTTATTATTACATATGGTATATTCCGATCATCCTTGCTGTTATCATTACCCACCATCACTTGAATTTTGTTGATAGACACCTGACCCCAGATCGGAGTTTGCTTATCCTCGGTGGGAAGCCTCTCTCTCATGGTGAAATAAAGAGTATTTGGCTTCAATGAATGTAGTTTGGTCTTTCGTCATCTGATACGTCTGAAACCCTTTACATCATCTTTTGGGAGGTAGATTATGTTATCGTGGTAATGTGAGGTTAATGCACTCAAGGTAGCAAATGGGTAGATTTCATATCACTTGAATTGGGTGCTAATTGCTTTCCTGCTAGGAATATCCTCCACATTAGCTGTTTCTCATATAACGTGACATATTGCTTTAATTCTGCTGTTGCAAGTGTGCAGTTTTTCGAAAGGTTTATGGTGTATGAGAGTGATAACCAAGTAATTTGTTACCCTATATCATTGTTGGTCTTATATACAAATCAACTGATGGGGAAGGCATATTTCTCTATTTGATACTGCTTAAAGGACAGACCTGTTTTAGGAACCATGTGTAAAAGAGATACTTTAATGGGTTGTTAAATAACTTAGCCCGAAGACTTTCCCTTTGTGAACTACTAGATCACATTCAAAACCGAGTGTCAATCAGTCAAGGAGCAATTATATATATCACTGAAGTTAATACAAATCACTAAGGTACTCTATTTCTATTAGTTTAGACTTCCCCTAACCATGTGTATAAGGCATAGAATCTTTGTGCACTTTACCCAACCATCATTAACATGGGATTATTTACATATGGGATTATATATGGTTGAAAAGGTAAGTACTCGTAAGAAGTTTTAAGCAGTGACTCTGTGATGTATCAAGTGTTTAAATCCAGGTTATTTGTGTGGCATGTGGGGATCTCAGTAAACATATATTGCATTTCAGGATTCTGGAAATCTATATTATTTAATCCCTGGTACATGGAGTAGGGTGAATATTTGATGCAATTCTGGTCATTGTTGTTGTTCTTTTTGCTAAACTATATGACTCCATAATTTCTGGTCTATGTATTATTTTCTTTTCAGCAAGAAATATACTGTATTCATGTTTCTTGGCAATCTTATAGCAAAATCATCATTTTGTAAATTAAAGAAATGTGTAGTCAACAAAAATACAAACTTGTTCTTTGCAATATGGATTGGGTGTATAGCACTGACCTGTTCCTGTATCCACAACAGGACTTTCAGAGATATCATATCATATCCTCCATCTTCAACTGATCTCTTCTACAGTAATACTATATTTCTTTGGCTTAGGCATTTTCAAAATACTTTGAGTTAGCTCTTCTTCCAGTAATATAAAAATAATAAATATTTCAATATACACATTTATTTACCGTTCACTTACAATAATTTCAATATGGAACACATTTAGGGCTCATGGGAAATCCCAAAGAAACAAATGACAATGCAGAATAACAACACGTTCTTTGAAGTCCTGTCATCAAGGAACAATATATTATAACAACTATATTCAAATTATTTTACATACCATAAGTGCAGACTATTTCCCTCACAACTGCTTAGTCTAAAACTCAGTTTCAAATGTTAACTTTCTTAGCAATATTTTACGTAAGTAAAATACTGATAAAAGGAAAATCTACAACAGAAATGGAGAGAAAAACAGAAGTACATGGTACATGTTTCCTTGGGCTTTT